AAAGCAATTCGTTCAAAATTATTCCCTAACTATTCCAAAAAATCAAAAATGCACAACGTTAAATCAAGTTTTCACTTCTGCCGGCAACCCGTGTTTTTTTTATTAAATATGCTTTAACAGCAAGATGTATATCCGAAAAAGAAACAAATTAAAAATAATTTTAATTATACAGGGGTTTTCAAGAAAGTGATACATATCAAAGTTAGGTTTTTTTTTTTAAATGGGACACTCTGTATTTTATTTTTTATTTGAATTGACCTCGCTTTTATCATTATAAAAATACCAAATAGTATGGGGTATTTCATGTGTTACAAGTTTTTGACGGTCAACAGTTCTAAATAGGTGCTGATTTTCTGTATCGTAGTAATGGAAATTGTGACGATTTACTAAACAGAACAAACTCAAAAAAGTCTCTATTTTCTCCTACCTGTTCTAGTGCCCATAAACAAAAATCTACGCGTCGTTTAAAATCGTTTTCTTTTAAATATTGGTGAAGTTGTATATGGTATGGGCGAAACTGGTGTTTCTGGAGAATTCTTCGTATACTGGTTCTAGATAATATAACCGTTTGCCTCGAAATTTATTTAGTGCTAGCAGTAGCATTCTCCGCTACTGAACAGAATACCAGAAATTTGTTTCCTTCATTATCAATTACGGGTTTACTCACTGTTTGTTTTGAATATGCAATACTGCCTGTTGTACGACATCGTGTTAATAATCTTTTAAAAGTCCTCTTATCCGCCGGCTTGTTGCTAAAAAACCATTTTCATAACATTCACCAATGATAAGAATCATAACTACCCTTAATTGAATAGAATATTGCTTCATTTCAATTGCAAAAGTGCATAAACATAAAATAGTAGAAGTTCAGAACTATCGATAGCACTATCGATTTTTATCGATAGTATAGACCAGTGGTCGCCAACTTGTCGATCGCGAGCTACCGGTAGTTCGCGGAGGCAATTCTGGTAGCTCTTACAACGATTTTAATTTAAAGAATACAAACTGCAAAAATTAGAGAAGCTTCCGAAAATTCCACAAAAAAATCTAATTGTCATAATATTAAACATAAACAGCGGCAACGTTGCGGTGAGCGATCTGCCGCTGACGCCATCAAGCTAGAATCGGCTAGAACTGAACAGCCGGACCAGCGCGTAAGTGTTCGAGAACGATCAGGATTGCTTTGAACGGGATAAATACGCACGGCGCGGCGACATTGCGCTTAGTTTAAAACTGAACGCGTAACCAACGTCCAGCGGTTGAGTTAGTAGACAACAACAAAAAATAATATTATGGCAAGCAGTTGTAAGAAGGTAAAGACATACCACTTTCATTCGGAATGGGAAGAACAATACTTTTTTACAGAAGTTAAAGATAAAAATGTGTGTTTGTTATGTAATACTTCGGTCTCCGTTGCTAAAAAAGAAATATTGAGAGACATCATAAAACTGTACATTCTAATTTTGAAAAATCATTCCCACTACATTCTGCCGCCAGAAAGGAGAAACTGAAACAGTTAAAAAAAAAGCAGTTAATTGGACAACAATCAATATTTTTAAGAACAGTCGACAAAAATAAGGCTGCTACTGAAGCATCGTACCGTGTGTCCCAGATAATTGCACAAAAAAAAACCTTATGAAGACGGGGAAATGATAAAACAAGCGTTTTTAGAAGCTGCTGATTCGTTATTTGCCAACTTTAGAAATAAAGAGGAGATAGTTTCAGCTATAAAATCTATGCAACTTTCTGCTAATACAGTGATGAGACGTGTAGAAGTAATGAGCAATGATATTTTTTTACAATTAAGAACTGACTTAGATAACTGTGCTTATTTTTCACTTCAACTGGATGAATCAACAGATGTCGTTGACACTGCACAGATGGCCGTGTTCGTCAGGATGGTTTTTAGTGATTTTACGATTAAAGAAGATCTTTTGAAGTTTATTCCACTTAAAGGACACACTACTAAACAGGAGTTGTTTTCTCATTTAAAAAATATTATTTCTTCCGAGAAAATTCCAATATCGAAAATGGTAGGCTTGACAACCGATGGCGCTCCAGCTATGGTGGGTTGTGATAAGGGTCTGGTGGCGTTATGTTGTAAAGATGAAACTTTTCCGCAATTTCTCTGTTACCACTGCATTATCCATCAGCAAGCATTATGTGGAAATTTCCTGAAACTAAACAACGTTATGAAACTCGTGGTAAAAATTGTGAACAAGATTAGAGCTCAAGCGTTACAAAGAAGATTATTCAAAACCTTGGCCGATGAAGTTGACTGTCAATACGGGGGACCTACTCCTTCACTCTGAAGTCCGATGATTAAGTAGAGGACGGGTGCTGAAACGTTTTAATGATGTCCTATCTGGCATAGTTAAATTTTTCAAACAACGCGATGAACCGACTCCGGAACTAGAAAATTCAATCTGGCCTAGAGATTTTGGTTTTCTCGTGGACATTACAGAGAAATTAAACGAACTTAATTTGCAGCTTCAGGGGAGAGACAAAGAACTAGCGGAAATGATTTCTGTTATAAAAGCATTTATCAAAAAGCTGGAGTTTTGGGAACAAAACCTAATTAACAGCGATGCCAAGCATTTTCCTATTTCTTTCAGAAAAAATATCTCATAATCCATTAGAACCCTATGACAGCAAATATCATGCAGAAATAGTTTCTACCCTGAAGAATAACTTCAAAAATCATTTTAAGGATTTCAACGAAATGGCTTTAGTAGCGCAGTTTGTTGTTTCACCCTTTATGGAAATTGATATCCAAGAGTTTGCAACTTGTGTTATGCAGAACTTTGGCGAAGACATCGCTGCAACAGAAATGGAAGTAATTGAGTTTCAAAATGATTTAGCCTTAAAATCGTTTGTCTCAAGTACCAAATGTATTTGGCTTATTGTAAGTAAAGACAAATATTCAGTTCTATGCCGTGTTGCCTTGAAAGTGAAAGCATTATTCAGTTCAACCTATTTGTGTGAATCTTCTTTTTCCAATATGAAGTTTATTAAGAACAAATATCGCAATAGACTTACAGATGAACCTTTGGATAATTGTATTCGAATGGCTGTATCAAATTATACTGCAAACATTAAAAAAATTATCGATGAGTCTGAGTGTCAGCCTTCTCATTAAACGTGCTTTTTTATTTTTCAATGTTTATGTTCATGATAGTGCATTACTTTTTTGTTGTTATTATTAACTATTTTTAAATCTTACGTGACATGCCGTTGTGGCTGGATAAAAGTTTGTGTTTATTTTTCAAACACCTTCGTTTGGTAGGTAGGAATGTAGCTATGAACAATTTCGTACTAGTAATATTAGTTATTTTGTTATTAGTTTATTATTAGTACCTATGTATTATGTATTACCAGTTAAATAGTGAAATAAATACATATAATGATAAATTAACTGTGGATTATTTCATTTACGTGGCGGCCGTGTGGGTAGCTCGCTGTTTATTCCAAAGTTAACAAAGTAGCTCAACACATTGAGAGGTTGGCGACCACTGGTATAGATTATCGAGAATTATCGATAGTTTTTTGTAACAATTTTTTTCGATAATTATAATTTTTACGCGTTTAAATTTGTCGTTTTGTTTTGTACGTTTGATAAAAACATTTAGGTAATGATAATGGTAATTAGAGGTTTAAGATTCGGTTACTTTAAACTACATATAACGGATACGTTAATTTTGGTTCCAATACTTGTTACTTCTGACATAAACAATTACTCTCATTATTATTCTTAGATGGCACGATCATGGCGGAATTATATCGTGTTGTTCGAATCATTTCGGATTCCGATATTGGTCGGTTAGTTGCCAATATTTCACCGAGTACTCGAGTAACTATTGCGTCGGTGATTTTTGTATTCATTGCTTCGGATCTGGACGAGTACTTGAGTAACGAATAGTTACTTTTTTACAGCTCCAATGGTAATATCCATTGTTTTCTCTGTTGTGCAGTGTTATTCCAGAGTGCACTTTTGTGCCAAATTTTGGTACATTATTTTATATCTGAAAAACATACATAACTTTTTTTGTTAAATTGTTATTTAAACAGTCATAATTACGAGCTGGTACAGTTTTATCGAATTATACCCAATCTGGTACAATTAACACCAACTTCAAAGTGCACTCTGGAACAACCTTGCTCTTGTGTTTTGTATTACACTGGTAGGCGTCATCTGGATAAAACTATCAGTTACCGCCAACCGCCACAAAGAATTAAAAGCAAAGAAAGAGCAGGAGTAAATGTATAACATAACCTAATTTAAGAAGAAAACAAATTAACAAACGCGACATAATTTAGGATGGAAAAAAGTTTGTCTTTCCCGAAAAGGGATAAAAAATCGGGTAAGTCGTCCATAAATATTTTAGTGAATTTCATGAGATAAACTTTTTCAAATTTTCAGACCCAGTTACCTCCGGTTCACGTGGCGATGCCGCTAAGAATCAAGAAAAAAATGGATATGGCGATTTTGCAACTAAAACAGGATCACCGTCAGACTTATCAGAAGTCGATGTTGTCGATAATTCCTGTAAACCTTCTGAGGCACCGGAAACAAAAAGAAAAAAATATATACTGTGTGAAATTTTTTCAAAAGGTCAAGTGACCGTAAATTTGCAAAGTGCATCACATGTGGAAAAGAGTACAAGACCAGCGGGAATACAAGTAATTTTGCGGACCATCTAAAGAGGTTTCACCCGATTTCATTTAATGACACAGCACCGTCTTCTTTAAGTAGCAGTGAACTAAGTCCTGCACGATCAAGTATACGCTCTGTGAGTCCCTTTTTCAGAAGGGCGATTCATTATAAACAGTCGTCACTAAGAAAAAAAGAACTTGATTGTGCCCTTTGTCTGACGATCGCTATAGATTTACAACCATTTAACATTGTAAATGATACTGGGTTTAAAAATTTTATTAATCTTCTTGGCCCTAAATATGTGATTCCAAGTAATTATACAGTAACAGAAAATATTACGAAAAATATGTATGAGGAATATAAAAAGAAGCTAAAAAACGTTTTAAAAGAAGTAAATTTTGTCGCCATAACCACAGATTCCTGGACATCAGTAGCAACCGAGTCATATTTGACCATAACCTGTCATTATATAAATGAACATTTTGAATTAAAAAGAAATATTTTATCTCTAAAACAAATAACAGAAAGGCATACAACACAGCAAGTATTTGGTGAATGGGAAATAAGTAAGAAATCAACTTGTATAGTTACTGATAATGCAAGTAACATGTTCAAAGCATGTGATCTTTTAAAAATAAGGCACCTCGGTTGCTATGCACATACACTAAATTTAGTTGTGCAAGAAAACCTTAAATTAGTTGCCTTGCAAAGTATTCTAACTAGATGTAAATATGTAGTAAGGCACTTTAAAAGCAGCACACATGATATGAATTTATTTAAAAAAGAGCAGCAAAACGGAGACGTAACTAAAAATAAACCACTACAATTGTTACAAGATGTGCCAACCAGGTGGAATAGCACATTATATATGATTCAACGTATAATTACAACAAACAACCCTTTGAACCGCACTTTGCTAAACTTGAGAAATGCACCTTCCCCATTTACAATAGATGAATTTTCCCTACTAAAAGATATTGAAAAGTGCCTTGAGTGTTTTGAAGAAGCAACCAAACAAGTTTCAGGAAGCAATTATATTACAGTATCACTAATAATTCCTCTAACACTAGGAATATTTAAACACCTGACAGATTGTATTGCCAATTTAAACACTGAAGAAGGAAAACAACTTTTCCTGAAACTAACACAATCAGTTAGACAAAGGCTGTTTTCATATGAAACAAGATCTGTGACAAGAATTTTCGCATTACTGGATCCTCGTTTTAAAAAAGAAGGTTTTCGTAATCCTGATAATGCAGTTCAGGCTACAAACTATTTAGAACAGGAAATGGGCCAGTTACTAAAAGCTTCTGAAAAAGAGCAAAACTCTGAACAGGACTCACCCAAATCTACATCTCCAAAGAATAGATTATTATCATTTATTGGTCAAAGAGTTGAGGAAAAGAGTACAAATATTTCCTCGGACATAATAATCATAAAAAGGCAGTACTTTGAAAGGCCAAACTGCAGGGAAGACATTGACCCCCTCTTATTTGGAAAGGTGAGTTTGACATTTCAGTAAATTAATATGTGTATACCTAGTAATATTAATTTTTAATTTGTTGTTTTAGGTAACCAGAGAAAATATTAACCCACTGCCAGAACTAATACAAAAAATTTTCTGCATTCCAGCCACTTCCATGGAATCAGAAAGAACTTTCAGCTCTGCAGAAGAAATAATTTATGACACAAAGTCAAGACTTAAGTCAAAAAAGGTTAAAATGTTAATATTTTTAAATAAAAACCATTGGTTATTATAATAATGCTTTTTATTATTTTTAATTTTGCTGCAAAAAAACAACATTCGTGTTTTTAAGTGGCTAGTTTAAAATGATCTGTTTCATCAATTAAAATATCCTGCACTGAATTCTTAAAGCAAAGTTATACTTAACATAGTACATGCAAATTTAAAAGATACATTTTCGGCTTTACTTTTTCTTATCTATCGAAAACTATCGAAAACTATCAATAATTATCGATAGTCAATGTCCGAACAATCGATAATTATCAATGGTGTTCACTATCGATAGTTCTGAACCTATTCAAAATAGTAATGAAAACAGTTTAAATTAAAATGACATAAAGTCAAAACCAATGTCCATACATCTCAAAAGTATCTCTAATAAGTATAGGAAATGCTTAGAAATGTGAGTTGAACCTTTGAAAACAATCTTTAGGTATCTATAAATATTTTTGGAAGTTACTTAGATATACTTTTCTAATTATATAAAATCTGCCAAAATAATCTGAGAATATGTGAACTTTTTAGAAGCTATTTATATTTTTTTACTGAGTGTAAAAGGAGTATTTGGTATTGTCAGAAACTTTTTCAGTCGATAATAAATTACAGCTGGTAACACTATAATTACTAATTAACAGACACCATCTATATCCTATTAACCAGCAACCAGTTGAAATTAAAGTATTTTCTGAATTATCTTTTTTGTTATTTAAATTTAAAAATCTATATTAGAAGTACGTTCGAATGTGTGTTTGTGTGGGGGGTGCGTTGGCATCGGAATGATCCATTTACCACAGTTTTTTATATAATTACGAATATAAACCTACTTTCGAATGGTGATATAAAATAAAATAAAAAAAAATGAGTTAATTATGTATTTGAGTTTTGGCTTACCCTGAACAGATTTGTTACTAACTAAAAAAAGTCGCATGTTTGCATAAATGTTTACTAACATCGAAAATTTTTCACCGCGAAAAAATTTTTCTTCAATTGTTTCATTTGCAGTATACAACTCATTAAAATCAATACGATTTTCATATAAAAGTGGTTATAGCGCATAAAATACCCTGTATAATCCCATACTATTTGGTATTTTTATAATGAGAAAAGCAAGGATAATTCAACTATAAAATAAAATACAGGGTGTCCCTTTTAAAAAACCTAACTTTGATATGTATCACTTTCTTGGAGAACCCTGTATAACTGAAATTATTTTAAAATGGTTAACTTTTTAGATATACATCTTGCTGTAAAAGCATATTTAATAAAAACTAATTAGTTTTGAATCTACAGACCGAGGCGTGACCGGTGGCCCACCCTGTAGAGTGCATCTTGTTTTTGCATAAAAATAAGTCATAGAATAATTTTTTTATAGAAAAAACGTAAATATTTAAAAGAATTATTTATTTAGTACAAGACCGGGATCATCATAATTAGCGAGTTCGGTATTACACTTCATAGTTACAAGAGCGAAAATGTTAATGTTGATGACGTGTTATTTTTGAGAAACTATAGATTATATTTATTTTATAAAGTAAAGAGATAGGGAAACTTGTTCCACAAAAAGCGTCTCTCAACATGTATGAAATTAAGATGGCGTTACTGTACGAGAATAGCGTTACTGTACGAGAATGGCGTTACTATACGATAATGGCGTTACTGTACGAGAATTGCGTTTGAAACCTCCGAGCAATTACTACTAGAGGGAGTCTTCCCCCTACCCCGCGCTAAATTTTGTTAGCAACATCTACTCCCCCGAGGGGGAAAATACCTCTTCTGTAATTGGCTTATTTAATCAGCGTTGCCAAGTTTGACAGCGCCAGTTCTGACACTTTCTGACATATGTCAATTTCTTATTTGTATTTTACGGAAAATATTATTATTTATAACGTTGTAAGGGTTGTAAATGTATATTTAAGATTTATTATCTCTAACAATATGGTGAAAACATGCTTTATGTGTAAAAGGCCTGTTGAAAATGCTTCTTTAAGATAATATCATAAGTAAGTACAGACACAACCTAATTGTCAGAGGCGGGCGGTGCATTAGGCAATCACCTTTAATTTGCAATTAAACTTTATTATTTTCTTATCGAAAAATTAAAATTAAGAGCAAGTAAACTCCAGCTAAGTTCGTCTTCATCCATCTCATAATGATTATAGTTACTTATTATTATTATTTTAATAGGTATCACATCTTTATTCTATAAATAGAACATAATTTGCTTCTAAATCACTACCTAATGCACTATATTATATAGTACAAAACTAAACAAGAATATCACATTCATGTTTTTTTTTAATTTCCTTAAAAAACGTCCCAAAAAAATGTCAATATTTATTATTGGAGTTAACATCGTTATGCTAAAATAATACTAGAACAACTTAAATAATGTGGATTTTGGCTATTTTGAGTTATGCAGATCATTGTGATTTAAAAAAATGTTTGTCTGGTGCTATAGTCAGGTATAAAAACATTCATTTATTTAAACACAGTTGCAATATACATTTTATTTAGTTTTTAAGTTAAAACCTATTAGGACATCCTAAAATTACTTTTTTCGTTTGATGTGAGATTAATTATTCTACATTTTTGTTGGTGAAATAGGATATATTAAGATGTCTTACTGTTTTCTCTGATTATCTAAAAAGTTAAAACAATATACAAAGACTGTTATAACAAAAAAGAAGATATACCTTTACTTAAACACACAATTAGTCAGTTCAATTGTACGATAATTTAAAGCAGAAATCTAGAAAACTTTAAAAATGTGTTTAAATGTGTTTTTACTGTAACAAGGACATACTTATTAAAAAAACTTGGCACATTAACATTGACGATAGGTTTTTATAATATATATTATACAAATCACAACGAACTACACAAAATGACATTATTAATAATTTAGCAATAAAAAAGTTAAGTACAATGATGACATTAAAAGTTGAGTTTCTCGAAATACTTTTTTAAATTGTCTCGGTACCTACCTAGTATTTTTCTAGCACAATGATATTATATGAATATGCATTGTGTGATATCTTATATTTTAGGAATAAAATAACATAATTTTTGCAGGTTTCTATTAACAACGATTCCAAGAACTTTTGAAAATAATATTCGCAAATATAATTCTCAATTAAGAGCTTTTGATCAAACATTACATTTTTATTCTCCAAAAGGTTACAGCTACCTAAGAAGAAAGTTTAATAAGACTCTTACCAGACCCAAAATATCAAAATGTTACCAACCAATTGATGATTCTTCTGGTTTCCATAGGAAAATTCTCCTCGAAACTACAAAAAGAAAAGTGGCAGAGGCAACCGAAGAAGGCAAAAAAGTCTTTTGCAAAACAAAAACTAGCAATTTGTTTAAGAATCTAATTATTGTTTGAAGTTTTACCATTAATAATTTTTGATAACGATTTAAGATTATGAAGTTCTATTATGTATTTTACTCTTTGATAACATATGTTTAAATTTTTATTAGGAACAAAATAATTTATAATTTTCATTTCAACTACAAAAACCCTCATAATATTAAAAAGGTGAAAAATGTTAGATTAGTTATGTTCAGAAATAAATTCTTTAAACATTTACCTACTTAAAATGTGCTAATTTTGGAAGGTATGTTATTAACTTTCTATTTGTACTTGTATTAATTTATTTCATTTTATTATCTGTTGTATTTTCAAATTGATTTTGATATTTATATATTTTTTATATTCACATATATATTTTTTTCATTGAAACAAACGTTTATTAGCTTATTAAATATAATGAATTCATGTTGTTCTATTATATGCTTTTATTTTCTTTTAAAAATGAATTTCGAAGATAAAGCCGAAACGGTGAGTGAGAATACAAAATTAGACGAAAGTGACGATATTTACTGGAGCTTCCATCTACACGCTCCTTTTTCTAGCCATCTACACCTGAGCCAGCAAGATTCGTCTTTCCTCCATCCTTACATTCTCCAGATTCACAGAGAAAACGCCGTCCTCTTTAACATATCCAGACCTTCTTTGATTGGGACTATACTACTACATTATTAGCTTTATTTGTTATCCCGAGCAATTTAAATGCATTCGTAATTGCTCATTCTCACCTCTTCTCTTGTAGATTCCGTACTCAGTTTTCTTATTTTTAGTTACATTTGCACTGCTCTTTTATTTTCACACCTTTAATTCTATAATGCTGTAACGCTACAATATGGATCCATTTTTGTGGTTTATACTATTTAATGTTATTCGTAAGTGACCAACCTATTATAATAATTAAAGATTATTGTCTTACAGGCCTGAAGATGTTCCTGTAAGGTCGAAACTAGTCGCTCCTGTATTTATTTATAATAAAATTGATTTTAAGGTTTAATTCTTCAATTGAAAAAGTTAGACCTTTATAGTGATTTTGTTTCATTTCCTGCATTAGACACATATAAGACGGTATTCATTTGAAAAATAGTAAAATTAGCAAATTTTTTTGTTTTTTTCACAATTAAAACGTTTGGACAATGTGTGTTTTTAGAGATTAATGATACGCTACTGAACAAGAAGGATGTTTACCTTCCCCCTTGTGCCCGCTTCCTCACTTCCTCTACAGATGTTGCTAACACAACAATCGCCTACAAACTCGTTTTCACGCTCCCTCTATTAGTAAATGCTCGGAGTTTGAAACCGCCGAAAGTTATGACGGTAGTGACAGTCGATATTCAGATTACATCAATGATGTATATAGTTACATATAATGCTCAATCATATATAAATAAGAGGGTGCAACCCAGGGGGTAGCAACTCAAATAGAAAAATACGAGGAAGGTAATTTGACAAACCAAATAATAGTACTTTACTCTCTAGCAAAATTCATATTTTTTGACAAACCTCGCATAAGGTTTAAAAAAAATGATATCTGATGGTTGCATTTTAAGTTTTGGACCATGTAGAATTTTTTATCAATTATAATTTTTTTCACAAAACCAATACTGGTGCATTACAGTAAATTATAAAAAAATACCGAGGCCGCA